CGATTGCATTCAAATAGAATAAAAGCATTTTGCCCTGGTTAGTCCAGGGGGGGGGGGGGGTTAACAACTAGGCCACCATGCCAGTAAAAGTAAGGACCACAAATATGTATCTTAATTCAAGCAAGAAATCTAACCTTAATCTTCATCAAATCTATTTAAGATATTAACAACATTAATTCTAACTACAAATTACAATTGGGATTGCAATTTCATTAATCCTGCTGAAATGTATTTGCAAATTTAAAGTAACAGTTCTCGAATATGAACTTGTTAGCAACGTCAATATTTGCCTGCAATAAAATGATCTATTAGCCACACTGCACCTAGAGATGTGCATCACACTGCAACTAGAGATAGGGCATCACACTGGAGCTAGAGATGGGCATCACACTGGAGCTAGAGATTGGCATCACACTGGAGCTAGAGATGGGCATCACACTGGAGCTAGAGATGGGCATCACACTGGCGCTAGAGATGGACATCACACCGGAGATAGAGATGGACATTACACTGGAGCTAGAGATGGGCATCACAGTGCAGATAGAGATGGGCATCACACTGCAACTAGATATGGACATCACACTGGAGCTAGAGATGGGCATCACACTGGAGTTAGAGATGGGCATCACACTGCAACTGGAGATGGGCATCACACTGGAGCTAGAGATGGGCATCACATTGGAGCTAGAGATGGGCATCACACTGGAGTTAGAGATGGGCATCCCACTGCAACTAGAGATGGGCATCACACTGCAGCTAAAAATGGGCATCATACTGGAGAGAGAGATGGGTATCACACTGGAGTTAGAGATGGGAATCACACTGGAGCTAGAGATGGGCATCACACTGCAGCTAGAGATGGACATCACACTGGAGATAGAGATGGGCATCACACTGGAGCTAGAGATGGACATCAAACTGCAGCCAGAGATGGGCATCACACTGCAGCTAGAAATGGGCATCACACTGAAGCTAGAGATGGACATCACACTGGAGCTAGAGATGGGCATCACACCGGAGATAGAGATGGATATTACACTGGAGCTAGAGAAGGGCATCACAGTGGAGCTAGAGATGGACATCAAACTGCAGCCAGAGATGGGCATCACACTGCAGCTAGAAATGGGCATCACACTGGAGCTAGAGATGGGAATCACACTGCAGCTAGAGATGGGCATCACACCGGAGATAGAGATGGATATTACACTGAAGCTAGAGAAGGGCATCACAGTGCAGATAGGATGGGCATCAAACTGGAGCTACTCTCTTAAACATGTTAAAATGGGATAAAATATGACAAATAAATGATTTGTATACTATAAAAACGTATTTATGACAGATGGAATTATGAAAAACATATTTTTGACAAACATTTTATGACTTTTGTGACTGCGTACTTTTTCAATTTACTCTAATTAAACTAAATAATTAAGTTCTCTATGGAAAGAAATAGACAAACCTGAGCTGGGAACTTTTGATTAGGCCTTAATTCTGATCGCGTAATCTCTATAACTACTGTAAATGGAAACTTTTGATTAGAATACCCTTAATTCTGATCGCGTAATCTCTATAACCACTGTACATGGGAACTTTTGATTAGGATACCCTTAATCCTGATCGCGTAATCTCTATAACCACTGAACATGGGAACTTTTGATCAGAATACCCTTAATCCTGATCGCGTTTTCTTTATAACCACTGTACATGGGAACTTTTGATCAGAATACCCTTAATCCTGATCGCGTAATCTCTATAACCACTGTACATGGAAACTTTTGATTTTCTGCTTAAAGTGAGTGTTTAGTTGGACATGGTAGTTAATCTAGAGACATTTTTTAGAAATCATTCGAGATCCATAAGATGTTTTTACGATGTATGATTATTTCAGAAAAATTATTAAAATCCTCCCATGGGTCGTCCAACCTGCCCGCCACAACATGACAGGTAGGCGTACTGCGCCACACCATGCCGGCTAGCACCCGGACTACTAATGTTTGGAGCTAAATTTTTTTAATGAGCTGGCCTTAAAAATGTAGAGTATACAATTTTTGTATATTCATGTACCATAACTCTAAAGTATTTTTCTGGAAGGAGAGGGGGGGGGGAGAGGGAGCATGGGATGGGACATAGACTCAGACCCCCCCCCCCCCGCCCGGCACCCCAGACTTTACAGTGTTAAGCCTTAAAAACTTTAATCGATAGCAAGACTTTTGCACATTTTGGCAACGTACATTTCACAAAAATAAATGTTTGTTTGGTCGGTTTGTTTGTTTTTGATTTTATTGGATCCACCCAAATATAAAGACAAGGCAAATATATAAATATAGATATTTAAGATGAATTGTTTTATATTGTAGACTGTTGATTGATATATTGAGAGATGGATATTACAGGGTTTATATTGTAACGGATTATTTGTCGATAAATAAATACATAAAATATATATTAGATGTTATTGAAAAACAATGCTTCACGAAAATTCTTTTTTATAGATTTCCACAAATTCTGTAAATTTATTTGTGTTTATCCGACCAGAGCTGAAAACTTTAGAATGGTGGATATCGGGATTAATGCTTGATCCTCTCTTTTTGATAATCTCAAGATTAATATAATCTTGCAAGATTATCTTAAAAGTGTATGAAAAACGATAAAATTCAAATTAATATTTAATTATCTGAGAAACTGTAGCAGCCAATCAGAGAAAAGCGGGCAACCAATGAGAGAACAGAAATATTCTCATTGGAGAAAACAATTTACGGATATCCAATTGGAGAGAGAAAATGAGTGGATTAGGACAAAAATGAAAAGTTTCCACAGTGGATATTCGGATCAAGAAGTCAGGATTAAAGTTTATCCATTCTAAAGTTCCCAGCTCAGAATTCATCAAGTATCTAATAATAAACCTTCAAACACATCGGCAATTATAAATATGGTAAATAATAATAATTGTTAAAAATGTTAACGCGTTTCCTCCTCAGATTACATTTGTAACGTGCTCCCACCGCATTACACATCTTGTAAAGTGCTTCTCCTCTTTATACATAGTGTAACGTGCTCCCTCCTCATTATATATGTTGTAACGTGCTCCTCCAATTTATACACAGTGTAACGTGCTCCCTCCTCATTATATATGATGTAACGTGCTCCTCCTCTTCATACATAGTGTAACGTGCTCCCTCCTCATTATATATGTTGTAACGTGCTCCTCCTCTTCATACATAGTGTAACGTGCTCCCTCCTCATTATATATGTTGTATCGTGCTCCTCCTCTTTCTAATAGTGTAACGTGCTCCCTCCTCATTTACATCTTGCAACGTACTCCCTCATCATTGTACAATACATATTGTAACGTGCTCCCTCATCCTTATACAATACATATTGTAACGTGCTCCCTCATCCTTATACAATACATCTTGTAACGTGCTCCCTCATCCTTATACAATACATCTTGTAACGTACTCCCTCATCTTAATACAATACATCTTGTAACGTGCTCCCTCAGTCTTATACAATACATTTTTTAACGTGCTCCCTCATCCTATACAATACACCTTGTAACATGCTCCCTCATCTATATACAATGCATCTTGTAACGTGCTCCCTCATCCTTATGCAATACATCTTGTAACGTACTCTCTCATCCTTATACAATACATCTTGTAAAGTGCTCCCTCATCCTTATGCAGTACATCTTGTAAAGTGCTCCCTCATCCTTATACAATATATCTTGTAAAGTGCTCCCTCATCCTTATACAATACATCTTGTAAAGTGCTCCCTCATCCTTATACAATACATCTTGTAACGTGCTCCCTCATCCTTATACAATACATATTGTAACGTGCTCCCTCATCCTTATACAATACATCTNTTAGTTTACAGAACATAATAATATTAAATATATTTAGTTTACAGAACATAATAATATTAAATATATTTAGTTTACAGAACATAATAATATTAAATATATTTAGTTTACAGAACATAATAATATTAAATATATTTAGTTTACAGAACATAATAATATTAAATATATTTAGTTTACAGAACATAATAATATTAAATATATTTAGTTTACAGAACATAATAATATTAAATATATTTAGTTTACAGAACATAATAATATTAAATATATTTAGTTTACAGAACATAATAATATTAAATATATTTAGTTTACAGAACATAATAATATTAAATATATTTAGTTTACAGAACATAATAATATTAAATATATTTAGTTTACAGAACATAATAATATTAAATATATTTAGTTTACAGAACATAATAATATTAAATATATTTAGTTTACAGAACATAATAATATTAAATATATTTAGTTTACAGAACATAATAATATTAAATATATTTAGTTTACAGAACATAATAATATTAAATATATTTAGTTTACAGAACATAATAATATTAAATATATTTAGTTTACAGAACATAATAATATTAAATATATTTAGTTTACAGGACATAATAATATTAAATATATTTAGTTTACAGAACATAATAATATTAAATATATTTAGTTTACAGTATAGAGTAAGGGTGAAACTATTTCATCAAAAATGTCAAATCCCTTTAACGATTTAAAAAACGGCGTTCACAATTCAGACTATGTTAATACGGGTATCAAAAGAGCAGTTTTTAACCGCGTAATACCGCCCGGCCATTTCAATATCTCAAAAATCATAATTTACTTTGACTAATTTTTTTCTGGCTTGCATTAGGGATTTGATTTCCATAAAAAAGGAAAACTGAATGAGTTTAAAAATTATGAGAAATTTTTGTTATCAAAATGTGGGCAATAGTGACCCCGAAATATTTAAAAAAGACACTAATGTAATTTTAAAAATCTGAAAAATCAATTAAAACATTGCAAAAGATGAAAAACTTTGAAGACAAAAATTAAAACATCACTTTTTCAACAAACGTTTCAAGGGATGTATTTCAAACTTGATTTCCTTCTAATTCTTAACATTTCTCTTTCAGATAATACAGATTAGGAAAATGGTTTCATCAAACTGTTATTTTTGCAACAAGGTAAATAAATACAATCAAATATATATTTGATATCATTCATTTCTAATCTCTATCGTGTTTAAACTACGAGGGATTTTTAAACTTATTTCAGAACTTTTCTTAAACAATTGAGATTGGATATCTCAATATCCAATGTGGGCACTATTAAATTTGAGGATAAATGCAATTGATCCCTTCATCTTAGTTATCCCTGTAGGGTATGACCATCACGAAGAGTAAAATATAGAACTTTGAACGGGATTCCACGCACAACCTTTTATGTTAAATGTTATTTTGCATGCAAATTTATTCGCCTACCAATTATCCTTAAAGTTTTTTTATTTCGGGGGGGGGGGGGGTGGTTACTTAACATGGAAAAATACAACCAAAAATTTGCTTCAGGAGGAGGGAATTAAACAGTGTACGGACTGTACAATATTCTCATGTACACATCATCTGTCTTACCATTCCAGGTTGGTTATCGTGTACAGTCCCTTTGGGTTTGTCCTAGTATACCATTTTTGTACCCAGCCCCCCCCCCTCCTTTCAAATTTTGTACATGACCACTTATTTCTAGAAAAATTATTATTATGTATTTGTTTTATTAAGGGTTCGGTTAGGACAGGCTGGGGGGCCGAGCGCTGCGGCTAGCAGAGGCTAGAGGGCCGGGCGCTGCGGCCACATAACCAATTATATCATTGTGTTACATATGAGATCCATGTGCAAAATTGATAGGAGCGGGGGAGGGGGAACGTCCAAAAATCGTATACTAGGAAGTTACCGTCCACTTTTTGTGTTTAAGAACTCCCGTTAATGAAAGTTTCTAGCAACGGCGTTTCNCAAAAAAAATCAATTTTCTAGAGTTTTTAAATAGTTGAATTATCATGCACAAACTGAAATTGTATTTTCTTTTATAATCAAAACACTTCAAATAAGTAAAAACAAAAGTTACTTAACTAAATTAAATTCCCCAAAACTATTAAAGAAAACAAAAACAGTTAGAAATTATTTACACATTTTTAGAAATTCATGAGAGAAACAGAATCATTATTTTATAATATTTCTTTATTTTTTAGAGAAAATGGAAAAAAGTCGCAAACAAAATCGGAGTTAAATTAGTAGTAACACATTTTGACTGCATTTACCCTTAATTCCTTTTTCACGATCACTCCCTTTTAAAGGGGTGGAACTTGCGGAGCCTGGTGTGTTAAAACCGTTCCAGGAGCCGGAAGAGGGCTTTTTGCTAACAGAAATATACAGGTTATCAAAATCCTAGTTTAAAATATGGTCCGATATTATGAGAAGAATTAGGTTGCGTAAAACTTTATCTCTTGCGTTATTTAGGCTACTAATAAATCTGAAAAGTTTAAACATTTTTTACATTTTAATCGATAAAGACTGGATAGAGTTTAAATCGTCTCAAGGTCTTTTCCCATAAATTACTTTATAAAACCAATTTATTAAATCAGTTGTTTTTAAAGATTATTTAGTTACAATTTGAATGTTTAAACTCATTTCAATGCGCTTGATCACAGAGAGCTATGAAATTTATGCATAACTCCTATATTTCAGACTTAACTTCTAAATATTTTAGGCTGGTGATGTAGTGGTGCAGGACTGGGCTATTGTTGAAGGTCCTCTACCAGGACTGAACCAGGTCTGCCTTGTCTGTCTAAGAGATGATGGTAAGCAGGAGAAAAAACCCTTTAAGGGACTGCTTGCGGAATTTCAAGTGGCTCTCCATGCAAAGATGGCAATGTCCGATTCACAACAGTACCATTTAAACCTTAATCTGATCAAGAATGAGTAAGGATTTGTAGTATCTCTAAATGTATAAGAGTGTCTGAGTTTGGTAATTCCAAAATGTTTTCCTGATTTAGAAATGCGAAGGTAAATTTTGAATAGAAACCACAATTAATAATTATCAAAATTGCTTACTAGTTGATAAAGCTTTTAATGGTACCTTTGTGAATTAGGCATTCCATCTTTGCATGGAAGGTCACTTGAAATTACGCTCACAGTCCCTTCAAACATATGTTTTAATGCTCATTGCACACTAAGAACTGAAATACGAAAAATGTAAGTTGTGTAATATAGGGTGTCCCACGAAAGTGACAGTTGGTGAATAGTTTTGTTCTTCCATAATTTGTTATGTTGTTTGATAACACTTAGACAATAATACAAATATTATATGGGAGTCATCTTATAGTAAAATTGGTTTCAAAGTAAAATATGTTTCAGGGAAAGATGTTTTTAACAAAATAAACTGCAGAAAGCTTTTAATATCTAATAAAGTATATGAAAGACGACTTTCATATCCATTTACCAACTGTCATGTTTTGTAGGACACCCTGTACCTCAAACTTTTCATCATGAACGGATAAAGAAATTGATTTCTTTAAATAATTTAATCAATCCAATTATTAAAAAAAATTAGTCTTTTACACAAACTTTGATTTTTAAGTCTATTTTTGCAACCCAACGTCGCGCGTAGACCTTGGATATTTTAAAGTATTAATTATGATAGACTTAATTCCATAACAAAACAATTAAAAATTGATAGTTCTTACTTTGACTATTTTATCTAGACAAATTCATAGTTTTAAATATCATGTTAAGATCCATATTTCACTTAGTCAATACACATTCGTGGTTTGAAAACAAAAAACTTTCAAATATATCTCGTCTCAAACTCTAATTTTCTAATGGTCCTTCTTGTATTGAACAATTCAAAATATATAATGTTTAGAATAGATATTTAAAATTCATGTTAGTATAGACAAGCAAGTTTAATCCTTAGATGGGAGATGGGTCAGATTAGTATTTTACAAAATAATCAGAACAATTTAAAATATATAATGTTTAGAATGGATATTTAAAATATATAATGTTTAGAATAGATATTTAAAATATATAATGTTTAGAATGGATATTTAAAATATATAATGTTTAGAATGGATATTTAAAATATATAATGTTTAGAATGGATATTTAAAATTCATGTTAGTATAGACAAGCAAGTTTAATCCTTAGATGGGAGGGGGTCAGATTAGTATTTGCCCCTACCCCTGTAAGCACTTCGTGTTCATGAACTAGTTTTCAAAGGCCAGCTTTAAACCGTAATCCAATTTTCAAAACAAAACATTTCCAAAATAAAATTATTTTACAAAATTCATTTACCTAACTTTGGAAATAGAGAATCCAGAGAATTTAATGAAAACTATAGCACATATTTGATTACTAAATGTTCTCAATTTTGACATCTGATTTTAAAGGGAGTGTTCGCGAAAAATAAAAGAGGGTATAGGCTTACGGCGAAATAAGCGCTTTTGATCGCTGCTTTTTAGAATTAAATTGATTTTTTTACGATCAGAGTTGAATGTTTTTTTGCATTAAGCCTATATCCCCTTTCTTTTTTTGCGAACACTCCCTTTAAGTAAGTAAAATCTCTGGGAATAATACAAAATGGATGCAATGTAAATTTCTTATCTATTGATTGCCTTTTCAAATATCTTAAAATTCATTGTTCTCAATTTCAATTCTAAATAAAGAAAGAAAAAGGAATTTTCTGTGAGAATATTTTTCTAAGGTTGGTATTTCTTTCTTTTGATGTTTTAAGCAAACAATTGCTTTGTGAGTGGATAACTTGGAAACAAAAGTAATCTAATTTGAACTTTGTTTTAACAACATAGCGTAGCGTGGTACATAAAAAATGCTAGAAAAAAGTAAATATACATGTATATATAATAATTAACGAACAATTTGTATGCCCTTTCAATCAAAGATGTAAAAAATTAGATTGAAGTTTTTTTTTTTATTTCCTGATATATAAATTATCTTCATTAATAATTAAATTTTTACAAAATAAACCTTTCTGAGTAAAATTCTGAGTTTAATCTTCAAACTCAATTTTATCACATTTTCCTGATTTTAATATATTCAAGATTGTAATCTCTGTGTTGAATGTAGACTTCCGGTTTGCAAATCCAGAACACGTGGCTGTCCTTCCAGGTAGTGGCTCCGCCATCTTTTATTTTTATCGGATTTGATTTTTTTCTGCTTTTAAAGGGACTGTACTCTTAGTTTTAACTTACCCTCCATATCTATAGAGTTGCGTGTCAGCTTCAAAAGTTCAAAATATTCAATATCAGTGACTTGCGGATTTTGCTGCAGAGACAAAAAGGAAATTGTCAAAACTCTATATTTTTCAAGATAAAAATCGAATATCTGTATTGTATACCTCCATAATTTTTACTCAAATTATGGTTTAATGGGTACTGTTGTGAATCATATATGCCACTTTATAAATGGAAATTTACATGAAGTACGTCTTCAATCCCTTTGAAGCCTTAATACATCACAAAAAATTGTCATTTTTCAAAGCTGTATGCTTGGAAAGTTTGTATTAAATACAATATCCAAACATTTAACTCTAAATTATTTTTAATTTTGTTATTTAACAAAACATCAGGGCTGTTTTGGTAAGACTCTCTTCTTTTGTCTGAGTCGGCATTTTGTATATTTCAATAGAAATAAACTTTGTATTTTGTAAAGAATAAGTTCTGAATACGATTAAAATTGAAGATCCACCTGAAATCATCAAAAACTGTTTAAAAAGTCTGCCAAAAATTATATTTCTAGGCATAAAGCTGAATGCAAGATACTTAAAGATGGATCAGAGCAAAATCTATCAAAAGATTGTCTTTATACTTCAATAGCTTCTATCAGGTTAAAATATTTCAGAGTATTTTTAAAGTATTTTTAGACTTTTAAATGTCAATTTATTTTTCATTTTATTTTTTAGATTAATGTGGGGAGCAGAACGGGATCCAACGATAAGAGAGCTTCTTGATCCACTCATGGATCATAGGTAATCTTGATCCACTCATGGATCATAGGTTTTCTTGATCCACTCATGGATCATAGGTTTTCTTGATCCAGTCATGGATCATAGGTCTTCTTGATCTAATTATTGATCATAGGTATTCTTGATCCACTCATGAATCATATGTATTCTTGATCCACTTAAGGATCATAGGCATTCTTGATCCACTCATGGATCATATGCATTCTTGATACACTCATGTATCATATGATTTCTTGATCCATTCATGGATCATATGCATTCTTGATCCACTCATGGATCATATGCATTCTTGATCCATTCATGGATCAAAGGTATTCTTGATCCACTCATGGATCATAGGTATTCTTGATCCACTCTTGTATTATAGGTATTCTTGATCCACTCATGGATCATTGGTATTCTTGATCCACTCGTGTATCATAGGTATTCTTGATCCACTCATGGATCATATGTATTCTTGATCCACTCATGGATCACAGGTATTCTTGATCCACTCATAGAGTATAGGTATTCTTGATCCACTCATGGATCATATGTATTCTTGATCCAGTCATGAATGATAGGTATTCTTGATCCACTCATGGATCATATGTATTCTTGATCCAGTCATGATTGATAGGTATTCTTGATCCACTCATGGATCATATGTATTCTTGATCCATTCATTGATAATAGGTATTCTTGATCCACTATGGATCACATTTATTCTTGATCCACTCATAGATTATAGGTATTCTTGATCCACTTAAGGATCATAGGTATTCTGGATCCACTCATGGATCATATGTATTCTTGATCCATTCATGGATCAAAGGTATTCTTGATCCACTCATGGATCATATGTATTCTTGATCCACTCATGTATTATTGGTATTTTTGATCCACTCTTGTATCATAGGTATTCTTGATCCACTCGTGGATCACAGGTATGCTTGATCCACTCATGGATCATATATATTCTTGATCCATTCATGGATCATAGGTATTCTTGATCCACTCATGGATCATAAATATTCTTGATTTACTCATGGATCAAAGGTATTCTTGATCCACTGTGGATCACATTTATTCTTGATCCGCTCATAGATTATAGGTATTCTTGATCCACTCGTGGATCATAGGTATTCTTGATAAACTCATGGATCATAAATATTCTTGATCCACACTTTTAAGTTTGAGTATTTTAAATTTTATCCTTACAATCTTGACTATTTTATCTAATCAACTAATCTAATCAATTCCTTAATCTTGATATTCTATCAAGAGTTTTTCAATACATAAGATGAGTTTTTAATTACGCTTTGCAACTTATAGAATATATGCACCCTCGTTCAAACAATCTTGATTGACAATTTCGTTCGTTTTTATACTCAACGAACAAATTTTCCGAATATTTTTAATGAACGATATTTTTTTTTACTAAACGAACAATGTTTTTCGAACAAATTTTTTTAAAAACGAAAGTTTTTTTTTACTGAACGACCTTTTTTTTTAAAAAAAAGACTTTTTATAAAAAGAACGATTTTATTGAACAAACGTCAAACGATGTTACTAAACGACAGATTTTATTGAATGAATTTTTTTTGAACAACTGAAAAAAAACGTACTAAATCGGTCTTTCAGAACCGATGAATGAACAAAACAAAAACGAACTCGCCCAGCTTTAGTAAAGACTGAATTCCTTTACTGCAGGGAGATCCATGATCAAGGGATAAACTCTGGTTGGGATGATGTTGTCAATTTTCTCTCCAAACATGGGTTAGTCAATAAATTAAAAACATTATAGAAAGACTGTCGACGTTATTTCAAATATATGTCCAATTCACAATGATACCGTTTTAAACGTCGTCTTAATAAAACTGCATTTATCGTTTTTTCTTCATAGAATTTATTTGAAAATTTTTGTGAATGAATCATATGAAATTATGCAGCAATGAAGAAGAAGAATTTTGACAGAAACAGGCTATGAGATAAAAAACGACAATATATTTTATTATTGCAAGATAAATTGGAGAATGACATGAAATAACGTTAAGATTATAATACTATGCAATCGATATTGAAATTTTTAATCCTTGATCATTCACATGTAATGTTGGTAATCCTGTTTTATTCATTTAAAACAATCAAAAAAGTCTGAATTTTATTTAAAAATTTTTCTTATTAACTTTAAAAACTCAATTAACTTATTAGATTTTTGAAAGGCCTCTTAAAGCCCAAAAAAAATGTCCCAAGAACCCTACATATATCGTGATACGAAAAATCTTTTTAAAGAGTTTTGTTTATAGTTTTGACCGAGAGAATATTGTACGAACGATGGGGCTTCTTCAAACAAACGGAGTAACCAGTAGTTCAGTTGGTGGGGAGGGAAGGGGGCATTCTCTCTACCCTATCTTCAGTATAGTTAACAATTCATGTGTTTCAAACACGAGGTCGGTTAAAAATTTCCCTAAAAAACTAAAAAAAAAATTTTTGTGGCTTCAAATTATGTTTTTATTCTTTAAAACCACAAAATCTGAAAAGATTCATAAAAACTTTTCCAGATTTCAGGAAAGCAATTATATTTAACTTTTTTCCTTACTCCTTCTCACATTTTAAACAAAGAATTATGGAAAAAATTTCTCATTATTCAATTATGTAATTTCAATTTGAATTTATGAAAATAAAAATGAATTCTAAAGGCGTCTATCCAAACGTCAACATTATTTTTTTACAAAACTTGTGCAGTCTTTCTGTGAAATGTTGAAATCCCCTGACTGGAAGTCAGGTCTAAAAATTATAGATTAGTTAAAATAATGCATTCAGGCAGAATGCCTTATAGTACTCAGGCAGTACATATTAATCACTCTGAAGTGATTGGCAAAATTGTGTTTGTTAGAAAATAATTCCTTCCCCCCTCCCCCCCCCCGTTGGAATGGGGTTAAATTGAAAGGCAAAATGAGTCTTTGTCACAAACTATGATATTCTAATCTCTATATCTTTGCAACCCAATGCCGTAGACCTTAGATATTTCAAACTATGAATTCAGTTATATGAAAGAATCTAAGTTTAAATTATCAAATGTTTACACCATAATCAGGTGGAAAAAGTATAGGTATTAGAAAATCAGAGTTTGTTACAAAGACTCAATTCCTTTCTCTGAATTCTTTTTAATAACAAAAAAGGATGTTTTCAATTTTTCTATATTTTTTAAATAATGTTCTCTCTTTTCTTTTCTTTTGATCTTATTAAACATTATTATTTTTAGATGCAATTTTTCTTAGAAAATATCATCCTTAACATTCGTGGATAATTGCATATTGTTCCAATACATTAGACAATAATGGAGAAAAAATGCCAAATATTAATAATATTGATAATATTGGGAACATTGATCAAATATAGATAATAAACAACATACAACTCAATTGTAACATTAACAATTTTTTAAGTAAAACTATTGAAAATTAATAAAAGAAAAAATATTTTTGTTCTAACGTAGTATTTTCAATAAAAAAATTGTATCTGGTTGCCTCTATATAGCTTTACCGTATGTAAACATATAGACACGGAAGGACAATTTATAGCATCTGTCTGATTGCAAAAGTAAATGGATAGGGTTGGAGTAGTATAAACCTTGAATACTTTCTATTACCTAGGCATGGATAGGGTTGGAGTAGTATAAACCTTGAATACTTTCAATTACCTAGGCATGGATAGGGTTGGTAATCGCTTTTATAAACAATCAAAACACAATGGGTCACTTGAACTTTTAAAAAACGAAAGACAAAATGAACTTACGATAGTTTTCTTGAAAAAACGATCGTTTAAAAAAAATATTCACTTATAAATATGAGTTTTATGACATTTAATATCAATGTTTTTTACAGTCTGAAAAGTTTAGAAATTTCGTTAAAAAAACGAAACGATAGCTTTTCTAAAAAGTGAAAACGATCTATCCCTAGGCATGGATGGAAGGAAAATAGCGTCGTCTGATTTCTAAAGAAGATGTAAAACCTGAATAATATTTAGGCATGGAAGGAAGGATGATAGCTTCTGTCTGATCGCTACAGTAGCTATAAACCCTGTATAATATCTAGGCAATAAAGGAAGGATGATAGTTTCTGTCTGATCGCTACTGTAGCTATAAACCCTGTATAATATTTAGGCATGGAAGGAAGGATGATACCTTCTGTCTGATCAATACAGTAGCTATAAACCCTGTATATTATCTAGGCATGGAAGGAAGGATGATAGCTTCTGTCTGATCACTACTGTAGCTATAAACCCTGTATAATATCTAAGCATGGAAGGAAGGATGATAGCTTCTGTCTGATCGCTACAGTAGCTATAAACCCTGTATAATATCTAAGCATGGAAGGAAGGATTGCTAGTTTCTTTCTGATCACTACTGTAGCTATAAACCCTGTATAATATCTAGGCATGGAAGGAAGGATGATAGCTTCTGTCTGATTGCTACAGTAGCTATAAACCCTGCATAATATCTAGACATGGAAGGAAGGATGATAGCTTCTGTCTGATCGCTACAGTAGCTCTAAACCCTGAATAATATCTAGACATGGAAGGAAGGATGATAGCTTCTGTCTGATTGCTACAGTAGCTTTAAACCCTGAATAATATCTAGACATGGAAGGAAGGATGATAGCTTCTGTCTGATCGCTACTGTAGATATAAACATGGGAGATGAAATAACAACCAACTACAAGTCCCCAACCTTAGGAAAATATATGTAACATAAGCTTAAAAGAATGGTTGAGCTAAGCTAATTGCTTATATTGTTAACCTTTTACCTTTCAGACATTTTTCTGTGATAATTATCAAAGTATAACCATAACTTAATATAACTCTCAATGAATTTCTAACAGTTTTAAAGGAATTGAGTATAACAGAGTATAACATCGAGAGGATTTGAACATAATTTTAAACCAGGAAATATAGCAAGACAGCCAGCGTTTAAATCATTGTGGAACTTCCAGTGCACTTGTGCCAGGTAATGATTTGGGGGGGGGGGGGTATAATCTTAAAGGTAATATGTGAAAATACTGCCTCAAATTGTCACACAAATCTTGTGGAGAAATGTATTATCCAAAATAAACAAAAAAAATTTTATTTTATAGTTCTATAAATTGTCTTTAAGTTTTGGCCTTAGTTTTTCACGTTAAAGTTTTTTAAAACTTTAACGTGAAATCAGATTATACCGGCCAATTTATTAGTCCTTTTACTCTTGTCATCAATTACTATTATAGAAACTAAAGAATTAGTTCTTACATACAGCAATCACTAATCACAACCACAAAAATTGCCTTTAGAATAAATTGATATGAACAAAGCACTTTGATAATAACGTTTTAATTAGGTGCATTGACCCTACAGAGCTAGGAACCTACTCAAGCTCTCTGCTTTGCCCAGACTGTACCTCACCTATCATCCAGGAATCAACTGATCTAGAACTAGATTGGTGTTGTTCAAACTCTAAGTGCGCTAAACCTTTCTCATTCCAGTTTATATCTGAGAAAACATCCAAACTAAACAGTTTAGTTCAGACCACAGGAAGAGAAATTATCAATCAATTGTTTTCGTACTTTATATGCATGTACTGAAAATCTAATATGCTTTAATGATGTTCACTCTTTGGCTTCAGTGTTCAGGGTATATTGATGTCTCTAAGATTGGACAAAATTTTAAATCATATTGTAACCAGCATGGGCTCAGTAGCTCGAAGTGGTGATAGTTCAATTGATATAGCCCCATCCTTTCTAAAACGGACCCAGAGCTAAGCTTGGACTGTAAGTTTTTTTGTCTGAGAGCAAAGCAGCTCATCATGGCTTATTTGCATATAGCTATAGTTCGGATGAGACGTAGGTCGGTTTCCACGACCACCGCAGTTTCTAAAAACAAAGCCAAGTTGTCGGTAGAAAGAAATTCGCCAACTCCCCATGGAAGGAAGGATTGCTAGCTTCTGTCTGATCGCTACTGTAGCTATAAACCCTGTATAATGGATCATAAATATTCTTGATCCACACTTTTAAGTTTGAGTATTTTAAATTTTATCCTTACAATCTTGACTATTTTATCTAATCAACTAATCTAATCAATTCCTNTCGGTAGAAAGAAATTCGCCAACTCCCCACAGTGGTAGGATGGACAATCTAAGAAGCAGTCAATCTAAATCTGCTTGGTTAGATCGGAGCTGTGGCGAAAAAAATATGTTGCCGGAGGAGATATGTTGCCGGAGGAGATATGTTGCCGGAGGAGATATGTTGCCGGAGGAGATATGTTGCCGGAGGAAATATGTTGCTGTGGGAGATATGTTGCCGGAGGAAATATGTTACCAGAGGAGATATGTTACCGGAGGGAATATGTGGCTGGGGTAGATATGTTGCTGGAGGAGAAATGTTGCCGAAGGAGATATGTTGCCGGAGGGAATATGTTGCCGGAGGAGATATGTTGCTGAAGGATATATGTTGCCGGAGGAGATATGTTGCCAAAGGAGGTATCTATCCAAAGGAGGTATCTATCCAAAGGAGGTATCTAACCAAAGAAGGTATCTAGCCAAAGGATGTATCCAGCCATAGGAGAAACCCATCACTAAGTATAGGAAACCCAAACCTATGACTATGAATGAACTGTAGTATACAGTGTATATACATCGCTTTAGTTCTTTATTTTTTATTTTTTTTTTTACTTTCAATATAAATGTTTAACTTTATTGTTCTTTTATTGGTTCGTGACTTGATAAATACTAGAATATTGATTCCCGCCTTTTGGGTGGTTTCTTTCATAACTAACTAAACAATAGGCGACTTCAGATGCTTAAATGAACCTCCATGCAAAGAAGGCAATGTCCGATTTTCAAGGGCACCCTTGAAATCTTTATCTGAAGTAATGTGGAGTATATTATTGTTTTTCTAGGTTTAATCTTGTTCAATTCTGAAAATACGTTTTCTGCAATTGAAATGCGCAAAAATTAAAGATAAATCAGGTTTCAAAATTAAAAACATTGATATATAATTCACAAACTTAATCATCCAAAGCTTTTAATGGTACCATTGTTAATCGGGTAATTTGGAATGTAGGGTCGCTTGAAGTTACGCTTACAGCCCCTTTAATATAATTTTTAATATTAATGGTAAATTTGAATGATCTCTCAGGACATGGTGTAGAGAAACTAGAAAATCTGGTAGAAATTCTCTCACGAGTGGTTTATAAACATCACTGTCTTCTGATGCAGGTAAAACAAAAATACATAAAAACAAACTCTAGAAAAATTACAGAATTATTTAATTTTTAAGGTTGGATTTGGCAATAGAGTTAAGCCACAAAATCATATTTTTTAATCCTTATATCTTTGCACCTGAAGATTTAAAACATTGATATATCAAACTTAGAGTATTAGATCTAGCAGAATTCATAGTTTGAAATAGCAAAGTTCTATGACATATGGTTGAATGGATAAAGGAATTTAAAATTCCGAGTTTGTGGCAATAACTTATTGCTCTACTATGTTGTGTGAGATAAATATTTGCTTGCCTTACTTTATGCCAAATTTTGCTCATGAGAGAAAATGCAAAAAATGAGCAACAAATGAAATAAAACAGATCAAAACGATTAACAACCCTAGTTTTAGTATTAATTTCTATGAATATATTTAAAGGTGAAAAGAATGCTTCTGCTTCAGTACGGTAACTGTGCATCTCATCGCTGGGAGACATTAACTTCCAAGGATATAAAAAGGTAAACGTTGAACAGTCCCTTTAAAAGATAAACAATAAGGGAAACAACGTTGAACAGTCCCTTTAAAAGATAAATTAAACTCTTTGTAAACTGATACTGTGGTAATGTAATTCAGTGTAAATGTTAAGAAGGTTTGATTTTACGTGAGTAATGTGTAAAAATAAATATTTAAAATGTAGATATATCTCATGCGGTTTTAACGGTTTGGTCCTTTTCCAGAGAACTGTGGCTTTCGATCACAATTTGACCTGGTAAAAAAATTGTATTGTTTTGATTATACGACATAAAACAGTCATTATAGGCCCATCATAACAATCAACTTGTAAACCCACTAATAATTTCTTGTAAGACTGAATATAAAAATTTTAAAAATTGTTTCTGGTTTGAACTTTTTACAGGAAAACTATTTTTACATGTTGTTAGTGTTTCACAAAATAAAATCGCACTTTATTTTGCTAAAGTAAATATCACATAATCGAATAAAACCAACTTGTCAATATTAGTAAGACCCATAAAACTGTAGTAGTAGTATTATGAAAGACGCAATTCATCCATCTAATGCGTATCGAATATTTTCATAAAGCATGAGCACTAAGTTTTACAAGAAAATCAACTTATTGAATAAGATAGACCTGTGTTTACTGCACAATCCCAGTATTTCATGTTCAAAGGACTAATTGATATTAAGACTTGTGTCTTAAAGTGGTTTTCTATTCCTCAGAAATATGGGCCTTTTATCTAGGAAAATAGAATTATGCCGAGAATACATTGAAGTGTATACTATACTGGAACCTGGACTTACTAAATGGAAAGGAAGAGTGAGATATTTGACAGTTATTTTTTCGTTCTGTATGATTGTTTGTATTTGCTATGTTATATGTAGCCCATTGACGCCAAAACGTTTGATTATGTTGACTTTAAATGATTATTTAAAAAGAAATGCCCTATTCACACAAAGGGAGATAAAAAATTTAGATTTTTTCCTTACAAAGGAATTCAGTCTTTGTCGCCAACTCTTATTTTCCAATTTCTATATTTGTGCAAACCAATGTCGTACATCTTAGATATTTTAAATGTTAAAATTCTGTTAGATCAAATAGTCATTGTTTGAAACCAACGAATTACACCATCACTTTACATAAATATAGGAATAAGAACATTTGAGGTTAATTCACGTGTTCAGTTTTTTATCCATAAAAAAATGTCAATAAATTTTATCTTTACAAAGGAATTGAGTCATTTCAACTTCTAATCCCAATGGCGTAGGTATTTGAAGTTAAGGTTTCATCGAAAATTATAAAAGCAAGTTTGAAATATCGAAGGTTAACACCATCAGATCAGGTAGCAAAGGTATATAGACTGGAAAGGTATATAGACTGGAAAGGTATATAGACTGGAAAGGTATATAGACTGGAAAGGTATAGAGACTGGAAAGGTATATAGACTGGAAAACTATATAGACTGGAAAGGTATAGAGACTGACTGGAAAGGTATATAGACTGGAAAGGTATATAGACTGGAAAGGTATATAGACTGGAAAGGTATATAGACTGGAAAGGTATATAGACTGGAAAGACTCAATTCCTTTAAAGACTAAAGTTGAGCAACAACAACCCTCCCTTTAAACTTTTATTAAGAAAATGCTTATTTATGAAAATTTACTCAATTGTTCCTGTAGCAGAAATCCGCACGTCATTTGTTCAGTCTTTTATGTTTCTGGTTTGAATTGGTGCATGCTAATATTTTTTAAATGAAGGGTGACTTATAAATTCGTATGCAGTCTCTTTAAAGGTATGCGAGGAGCTAGCTAGAGCACTGGTTCATCAAGATAAAGTAGCAGGGGTTGAGGTTTGCAGACTTATTGGTGAAGCAGGAAAATGTAGGTAATTGGATAAAAAGAATATAATACACTTTTAGAGAGGAGAGCGTTCATATTATTTGAATACGTTCGTTAATCGTTCTTTAACGGCCCATTTTGTTTGTTTTTTCTATAGTTCAAAAAATAATTGATTTTGTTCGTTCTCAAAATTATCATTCATCTTCCATCTATTTTGCTCATTTTCTCACCGAACGATCGTTCATTAAAATCGTTCCTTCAAAAAAAACAAAAAAAATTTCAAAATTGTTTTCAATAAAATAGTTAGTTTTGTAAAAAAAAACTATTGTTTCTAAAAAATGTGTTTAAAAATAATAGTTTTTTATTAAAAAAATTTCGGAAAATTCGTTCGCTTTTTGAAAAAACGATCAAAATCGTTTGAACGATTTCAAATTGTTTGAGCGATTTCAAATCGTTAGCCTTTTTTTTTGTTTGTTTTTAAAAACCGATAATTTTTTCATTAGTCTGAACGATCCATTCGTTCTCCCATCGATGGTTTTTTTCTGAACGACACTTTTTTCCCCAACAAATTCGTTCGTTCTCAAGATTTTTGTTCGTTTAATAAAACGATGCTACAGTTCGGTCCTTGTCTTAACAATATGTGACTTAAGTCCGTATTTTACAAATCAAAAATATAGTTTTCTATCAAATAAAAAAGTAAAGACAACTTTTTAAGCTTAAAGATTGTTGAATTATATAAACCAAAACTCAATTAAATTCAAATAGAATAAATTGAACGCATCTTGATCGGGTGCATGGGAGATAATAGGAAATAATCACTTACCCCAAACTCAAACTTTCCAATCCCTACATCTTTGCAACCTAATTTGGTTAACCTTTGATATTTCAAACTGTGAACTAAAATGGATCTAAAAACTAGATTTGAATTGTCAAATGTTGACATCCTCAGATTGCTAAGGTTTGGAGATACAAAGTTTCAAGAAAATATTAAATCCTTTATTTTTTTTCTCCTCTACATGAAAAAAGTACATTTTATTGTTTTCGCAGAATTTTAATGTAGAAAAGTTTAGTTTCTCTATGCAAAAAAAATTGATATTTACTTAATAAATTCAAAATTAATTTGTAATACAATTTTTATTAGATTTTATTCTCAAACGATTTATATTCCAATCTTTATCGAACTCTATAAAACTAAAATATTTTAATTATTTTTAAATCAAAATAGTTCATTTTTGAGAAGTCATTCTGTCAAAATATCTGAAAATATTATCTAATTCTTAGAAAATACGATAGTAAAAGCTAATGTTTAGACAGCTGGACAGCCAAGAAGAAAGAGCTGCGTTCAACATGAGAGTGGCGCATCTTATGTCTCAATAAAACATTGATTTCTATTCTTTTATTTGTGAAAACAAAAATATAATAAATAAGTACTCTTGTTATGGAAAAAAATTTAATGTTTGGGAGACATTTTTGTGTTGTTAAATTTGTTCTATTTTAAAAATTGTTTTTGGAAAATAAACCATTTGCAAAAACATTTTTTAATATTATTTAAGGTTTAAAAATGCAAACACTTCAATAAATATAAGATATTTATTCTTATATTTAAAATGGCAAAATTGAGCAATATTATGAAATAGTATTTACATTAGAAAATTAGAAACTAACTGAATAAAGATAATTGTCAGGAAATTAAAAATGCGAAATGGGACAAATAAAATTTGTCAATAGATAAGTCCTTTTCTCTTAATTTTTAACTATAGACTGCATGAGTATTGAGTAAATGAAAAGAAATCTCGGCGATACAACGGGTCTTCTAATTTTACTTTTTAATTGGTTTGAACCCCCATCCAAAAATAATGAATTTTATTCTCAAGATTGGGTTTAATGTATTGAATTTTAATATATAAAAGTATTAAAAAGGTTTATGCGATATTTTCTTGATATTTTCTTTTTGATTGACATTTTGTCTTGAAGAGCCATATTTTCAGAGATTCTTCTTTCTTCGAACTTTTTTCCAGAATCTTCTCCAGTTAGATCCTCATCATCTTCCTCTGATGCTTCACTGTTCTTCTTCTTCTCATCTTTTTCAACTTCTTCTTCTTCACTCTTCGTCTCATCTTCAATTAGTTTCTCCTCATTCTTTTCTTCCTTAGTCTCCTTTATCTCTTCTCCATTGTTGTTGTTAACGTTTTCCGTATTTCCGATCTGATCCATGTCCTAAATAGTAAATATTTTTATATTGGGTGAGTAAAAAAACAGGATTTTCGTAGCAAACAAAATGTTCAAACTTTTGTTTAAAACATCGATAATCCTGGTTTTTAAATCACGCTGTACAGTTGGAATTATTTCCAAACATTACATTTAAGTTGAAAAAGAGTTTAAAGAATGTAGATTCAATCCAATTGTATTCACAGAATGTAATTTGAAACTTTAATAGAATGTTCGCAATATTGAAAGAAGAGATGGGATAGAGAATTTTGTGTAAAGTTTCCTAAAAGAAAATTTTGAAATATAAAGAAAAAATATCACGTTTAAAATGTGAATAAATGAAATGTTGAATTGAAATAATTAAATTAATATGAGAAAATTTGACAAAAAATTAGGATAAGGAAACTCGATCAACAAAAGTCAGAAAATGGGCGCCAGCTGTTAAAGCAAAGTAGCCGACTTAATTCTATAAAATCCGCTACTAACTATTTACCTTGTCTACACTGTTTCTGTTGCTTCGTTCTTCTTCTTCTATAATCTGATGAAGGTGATGAGGGTAGGGGTGTCCTGCCTCAGGCTGTTCGCCTACAAAATTACAGAGAGAATTTACTTTTTTCCGTATTTATAAAATATCGCTAAGGTAAGCCAAATATGTTAATTGCAAGAATTAACAAAGATGACATTTATTAGACAGTTTGCGGTTTTAGAAGGGCGAAATAAAGAGCCTTTTTATTATTTATGTAAACATTTTTTGATAATTAAACTGTGTTAAGATTTTTTTCCAAATGCAAGATGAAAAAATGAATAATGAAGTTATTAAAAGATGCAGTCGATGAGCATTAAGACAATGGGTCGGAAGCGAGCTACTTTTTGGCTGCAATTTAATACAGATTTAAAAATACCGACTATATTAGAACTAAAGAACAAACAACGAAAAAAAAACAAAATGATTGTCATTTTCGATTTTCTTTTGAATAAATGTATTTCACTAAAAAGGAAATGAGTTCTTGTCACGAACTCTAATTTTTCAAATCCCTTTATCTTTGCAACCCGATGTCGTAGACCTTAGATATTTCAAACTATGAATTCTGTTAGATCAAATAGTTTTTCTGTAAAATTTAAGATGAATTTCTTACTTGCTGTTGCAGTAGAGTCTCCTCCTATAGAGTCAGTAAAACTGTGCCTAAATTTATAAATTTATTAATCTCCTATATAGTCAGTAAAACTTTGCCTAAATTTATCAATTTATAAATCTCATAAAGAGTCAGTAAGACTGTTCCTAAATCTATCAATTTATTAATCTTATATCAAGTCAGTAAAACTGTGCCTAAAATTATCAATTTATAAATCTCCTATAGAGTCAGTAAGACTGTGCCTAGATGTATCAATTTATTAATCTCCTATAGAGTCAGTAAATCTGTGCCTAAAGTTATCAATTTATTAATCTCCTAAAGAATCAGTAAAACTGTGCCTAAAATTATCAATTTATTAATCTACTATAGAGTCAATAAAACTGTGCCTAAAATTATCAATTTATTAATCTCTTATAGAGTCAGTAAAACAGCGCCTAAAATTATCAATTTATTAATCTCCTATAGAGTCAGTAAAATAGTGCCTAAAATTATCAATTTATTAATCTACTATAGAGTCCGTAAAACTGTGCCTAAATTTATCAATTAATTAATATCCTATAGAGTCAGTAAAACTGTGCCTAAAATTATCAATTTATAAATCTCATAAAGAGTCAGTAAGACTGTGCCTAAATTTATCAATTTATTAATCTTATATCAAGTCAGTAAAACTGTGCCTAAAATTATCAATTTATAAATCTCCTATAGAGTCAGTAAGACTGTGCCTATAAATATCAACCTTATACCCTCTATAGTAAGTAAAACTGTGCCTAAAAATTATCCGTTAATTTATCTTCTATAGAGTCAGTGAAACTGTGCCTAAATTATCAATTTGTTAATCTCCTACAGGTTATAGAGTCAGTAAAACTGTGTCTTAAATTATCAATTTATTAATCTCCTTTAGAGTCAATAGAACTGTCCCTAAAATTATCAATTTATTAATCTGTTATAAGTCAGTAAAACTTTGTGATCATCCCATGAAAAGTTGCTTGACCGGGGAAGGACAGGTCAGTTGAGCACCAGCTCTCTTTATGAGAGGATGAAGAAATTCGCCCGAAATCTAAGAAGCAGTAAGTCTAAAGGAATGGAAACTGCTAGGATGGATCGGAGCACAGGAAACCCATCACTGAGTACAAGAAACCAAGTGGTAGGACGGACAATTAAACTGCTAGGTTGGATAGGAGCACAGGAAACCCATTACTGATTACAGGAAACCCAAACCTGTGACCCTGGATGTAGAAGAGCACATGAAATCCATCACTGAGTACAGGAAGCTCTAAATGAACTGTAGAAGAATTAAATCTACATTGCTTCATTTCTTTATTCTTTTTATTTGTATTACTTTCAACATAAATGTTTAGCTACTTTGTTCTTTTATTGGTTCGTGACTTGATGAATACTAGAATATAGATATTCCCTTTTGGGTGGTTCCTTTCATATTTAACTATTTAACAGTGTGATCAAGGAAAACTGAAAATGTGTAAATTCCCTTTAAAGGAATCTGTGCAAAAATCTATGTAAAATTTCTTCACGAAAATTGTGTAATCTGCTTCCTTTTTGTCAAGGCTTGCCATAGAGATGTAAAATGTCGATCCAATGACGGAAGTAGGTCTAAATATGGATTTAGTCGGGAAAAGGTAAAATAAGGCACAATGCCTGAGAACTCAGGCAGTAGGTATAAAAGCCCCGCTTTGAGCCTAATGTGTGGGGTATGTGTTAGTTAGTAAAGTAAAAAAAAATTGAACAGCCTCATTTTTAAAATTTAAAATTTTAAATCGAGTCTAACAGTCATCATCCTATTTCAAAGTTTTATGGAACCCACTGTAAGGTATTCAGGACAATTTTAAATGTCTTACTTTCGTGTTTCCTCTTGAGTCAATAATTGTTGAATATGAACTGAAAACTTATCTTGAATCAAGCTTCGTCTAAATATAACGTTTTACTTACAGTGATATCTAATTTAGAACCTTGGATACAAGATGAGAGCAGTTTTTTTTATTTGTTATAAAATCTATATATAAATTTGGCTTGTCTGTCTGTTTGTTTGTTTGTATCCAATAAACGTCAAAACGGCTGAACCGATCAGGCCCAATTTTTTTGTGGGACATCACGTGACCACTGGGAAGGTTTATGAATGATAAAAATTTTAAAAAAAATGTGTTTTAATGGTTTTTAATTTTGTAAAAAAAAAAAAATTGTTGAAAACCCGCGAATTTTTTTTTTTAAAAATCCGCAACAATTTTTCTTCTTTGTTTTAGAATGTAAACAAAAAGAACATGTTCACAATTTAAATAGAAGATGGACACGAAGCGCCCTAAAAACCTAGTATATTTATATCTTTTAAAACCCGAGAAATAAGTCACCGTAGCCCTTTCTTTTTTATGGAAAGCCACTATGGAGTTTGCAATTTAAAAAAATTACAATAAACTTGAAGTTTTGAATTACAAGTCCTTTGTAACCCATTTTTTTAGAATACAAAATCTTCTCTACGGATATATTAACATCTGAAATCTGAAAAGAAAACAATTGTATCTTTTTTTTTTGTAAAACGTTTTATTTTCCTAATGATAAGAGTTGGCCCTAGCTCTCCTGTACCAACACTAAAGGATATAGGGAGTACTCGCCACTCAACTAAAATGTTTTCAAAACTAAAGAGACTGTACTATAAAGGGACTGTTATAGCGTAATTCTCTGTAACCCTCCAGGCTGAGATGTCAATGCCCAATTAACAACAGTTCCCTTGAAACCTAACTCTGATCAAAAATTTGGAAGATACCGCGCGTCACGAAAAGGTTTATTTCTGTGAGTTTCTTCATTACTTCTTATAAACAAGAAGTGCACAGAGAACCCGCAAATGAAAATAAACAGCTTAAAGGAACACAATCTTAGATATCTAATTCCAAGGTTTTAATGCAGAGGTGTACGCATCTTGTGTACTGCAGTGTAATGTAAACACAAGACGGATGTTACAACCTGACATGGGATCCATCTTTCACATAAAAAATCAATGAAATATTCTGGTCATAAGAAACTATTATGTGAATTATCAAAACGATCAAAAATTTAATGCTTTTAACCTCCTCGAATACTTCACGAACACTGATGCCATCTATTCTTTTTTACAAATTCTGCCCAGAGAGAACTGGTTTCAATATGTATACAGATTATGCGCAACTGCATTTAACTTTCCTTGCATTATAACCTTGTCTAAACTCTACACTTAAAAAGACAAAGATCTCAAGGGTACCGTTGTAAATCGAAAAATCCCATCTTTGCAAGGAGGGTGACTTAAAATTTCTCTCACAGTCCCATTAAAGGGATTGTTCATTCATTTTACAAAATATATCATCTTATTTTTTAAAGCATTCGGCGGGGTTATTTTGACAGGTCACACTCACGCATGCTTGTCAAGGTAGACAGAACATTTCTTTTAACTTTTTAACTGAGTTTAATATTATGCTCCTTTTCAAATTTCATTAATTAAGTAAATTATTTAGCAATTGTTTTTAATGTTATAAAAATAAAAATTAACACATTAACCCACTTTTATCAACCGACTTGATAACAAACGATTTATTTTTTACACTTTCAAATTTGTATGGTAAACTTGGTTGCATTGCAAATATTTTTCGCATAAAAAAGTAAGATTGCTGATAATTGAATTTAGCATTCTTGAAATTTTTTCAAAATGCAACAATGACATGACATATAAAACTTTTCCGCGTATTTATTTTGAATTTAAAATATTGAAATATAATGATTACCGATCATTCTGCAGGAAGTAATGACAAGCTGATTCGCCCTATCTATGCCCGCCTAAAATATTATAATATTAGCATTATATTTAAATTTTGAAATAGTCATTCTGATATCAGGATCTACATGTATTTCGAGTTTAAGACCAGAATCTACCTGAATCATGTGTTAAAGACCAGTATCTACCAGAATCACGTGTTTAAGAACAGAATCTACCTGAGTTCCGTGTTTAAGACCAGAATTTACCTGAATCACGTGTTTAAGACCAGAATCTACCTTAATCACTTTTTTAAGAACAGAATCTACCTGAATCACGAGTTTAAGACTAGAATTTACCTGAATTACGTGTTTAAGACCAGAATTTACCTGAATCACGTGTTTAAGACCAGAATTTACCTGAATCACGTGTTTAAGACCAGAATCAAGATTATCCACGACATCTTTAATAGTTTTCACATCAAACCTGGCATCCCTGAAATTAGATTTTTTAGAAATTTAGCCCAAAAAACCAGTTTACAGTTTGTTTACATCTAAAAGTAAACACAAACATACACCAGTTTACAGTTGGTTTTACATCTAGAAGTAAACAATAATCTAAACTGTTTAAAATTTGTTTACATCTAAAAGTAAACACTAACCTAAACCAGTTTACAGTTTGTTTACATTTAGATGTAAACATTACCTTAACCAGTTTACAGTTATTCACATCTTAGAATAAACACTAACCAAAACCAGTTTATAGTTTGTTTACATCTAAAAGTAAAAACTCACCTAAACCAATTTACAGTTTATTTACATCTAAAAGTTAACATTACCTAAACCAGTTCACAGTTTGTTTACATCTAAAAGTAAACACTACCTAAACCAGTTTACAGTTTGTTTACATCTGAAAGAAAACATTACCTAAACCAGTTTACCACATCTGATTGGAAACATTACCTAAACCGGCTTACAGTTTGTTTACATCTGAAAGTAAACACTAACCTAAACCAGTTTACAGCTTGTTTACATCTAAAAGGAAACATTACCTAAACCAGTTTACAGTTTGTTTACATCTGAAAGAAAACATTACCTAAACCAGTTTACAGTTTGTTTACATCTGAACGAAAACATTACCTAAACCAGTTTACAGTTTGAGGTGTGAGAATGTTTGAAGGAGACCCATTCTCATCTGTCACAGTGTCTAAGGAGAGCAAAGCACCCAATCTTAAATTTCATAAAAATAAAAAAGTAAAAAATAATATGGTTATTCTGTGCAGAAATAATCAATAAGAGTTTTTGTTTTCAAGATAGCATATAACGTTTTACTTTTTTTTTTACTAATTTCTTCATAATTTTATCTATCCTAAAGAATCTTTTAAAAAAATAATTATCTAATTAACTAATTAATCACCTATCAGTCCCATGACCAACAACTATACAGCTGGAAATACAGGGTAGCTCAAGACGTAGGTTACCCTCTCAATTATTATCATTATTACTATTATTATTATCATATTATTATTATAATTCTACCTATATTAGAAGGATTTACAACCTCACCGCTAGCCATAACTATTTGATCCTAAATTTGAAAAATAGAAATAAACTGAGTACTAGAAAACAAAATACAGAAGTCTAGAAAAAAACTTATCCTCATATTTACAGAAACCCTTTCTTACTTTAATTGCTTAACCGTAGAGTGTACAATGTGCACTGTACACATGTATCTCTTCTTGATCGGAAACTATTACATTGTAAAATTCAAGGAGATATTGAATAGAAGGAGGGGGCGATAGGGTTTCCGCACACTTTGCTGTGACGTTTTTATACTGCTGAAGAACTAGTTTTTGCGTAAAAACAATAATAAAGATTGTAAACAATAACACAAATAATAAGCAGACATCTAGGTGGGGGGGGGGGGTGCAGGATAACCTTGAATTTGATTGAAAATGTCTCTGTAATAGTTGGTCCTTTTCGTATAAAACTAAAATCTTTACCTTTTTATAATCTTTTTTAACAAGATTATACTACTTTCACAGTTTACTAACCCATGTTTGTTTACATTAGATCGGCTGCCTTTGTTATTGTTGTTACGCAAAAACTAGTTCTTCAGCAGTATAAAAACGTCACAGCAAAGTGTACGGAAACCCTATCGCCCCCTCCTTCTATTCAATATCTCCTTGGCAAAATCAATCAGTAATCAATCCACTGTACACATCTACCTGTGATTGATCATACACTGTACACTGTACACGTCCCTATGATTGACAGTAGACTGCATACTGCACATATCTACTTTTACTTGAACCTACAATGTACACTGTACACTGTAGACAGCTACCAGTACTTGCCCGTACACTTTATACTGAATATATCTACCTGTACTTGGTAGTACACTGTACCATTAAATATTAACCTTTATGACTATAGACAGTAGAATGTTAATATCTACCTCTACTCGACCGTAGACCGTATATTTTACATACTTACCTGTACTCTACCGTAGACTGTACAGTGTACATATCTACCTGAACTTGACTCTTGACTGTATCAGTTTATACTGTACATATATACCTGTAGTCTGTACTCTGCTGTCGACTGTAAAGTGTACATATCTACATGTAATGTATTTGGCTGTAGACTATATACTCTATCTTTCCTTGACTACCGACTGTACACTGTACATATCTACAGTGTAAACAAAAAATTTTTAAAATAGGAAGACGACTTTTAACTCAAGTTATGACTTTAAATAGTCAAATGAACATTAGACACAGCTATTTGTAATAAATACAGCAATCACCATATTTGTTAACCTGAAGATAGCCCTATGTGACATTCAGAGCCGATAAGATAGTCCCCATTGGTTTGGCATTGATCACTGAAGAGAGTTTGTGTCCTGGTTGAAATTTATAGCTGACGAGTTGTACCTGGACTGATACAGTTTGGGACAAGGTTTTAAGAGTACGGCATTAGTACAGATTAAGCTGTGTTAACAGACATATTTCACTTAAATGGTGATTTAAAAAGTGTCTCGGAAAGTTATTGGCTTTGTAACAACATCAAAGTGCTGTTATAAAGTCGTCTTCCTATTCCATTGTTTTCTGGTTATCATTGTACCTGTACTTGCCCATAGACAAGTAGAAACCCCTCATCATCAAGAGCTCCCTGGTCTCCAAGCTTCAGCCAGTAATCATCGGTCAACTTACTCTGATTCTCATTCTCCTAAATATTAAACTTTATACATATTTTTAAGGGTCTGTAGACGTTATTTTAAGTGACACTTAATTTAAAGAAAATAATGCCAATTGAAACCTTTTACTAATCAGTAATGTGGAAGATAACGTCGTTTTTTTCTGGCTGGAAAAGTGTTAAAATCATTTTTGTAAAGAAATTACATTTAAAAATAATCATTTTTTAAAATTATAATCATGGATATCTAATTCATACGTGATCAGAGCTGAAAACTTTAGAATGGGATATCCTTAATCCTGATCGGTTAATTAATCTTGAGATTGATAACAAGAGGAGAACAAGCAATATTTAATCTGGAGATTAAGGAAAAGAGTGGATCAAGCATTAATCCCGATATCCACCATTTAAAAGTTCCTTGCTCAGATAAGGCTTTTATTTATTTTTGTTTATTTTATTATTTTATTTATTTTGGAAACAAAGAAACAGATAAAACGTCCAAGATAAAATATATAGATATGCAAAAGAAATCTTTACGAACTGTCATTTAAATATTTTTTTTATGTAAAAAAGCTGTAATAATTAGAGTATTCCTTATACCAAGAAGGAAAAATATAAAAATCTCCCCTCCTAACCCCCGTCTTTTCCTCCCGGCTCTTAAATAAAGATCATAAAAGAATTGTTGATTCAATAAACTTGAAAATTTATTTCTCATGAAGTTCAAAGTAAATTTAAAATAGAACTTAATTATCCGCTTCTGAAAAATAAATATTAAAAACTGAAAGTACCCAAATTGAAAGTAACCGAATGGTGAGTTACACAATTGAAAGTTACCAAATTGAAAGTAACCAAATTGATAGTAAACAAATAGAAAGTAACCAAATTGATAGTAAACAAATAGAAAGTAACCAAATTGAACGGAACAAATTGAAAGTAACAAAATTGTTGAAAATTACCAAATTGATAGTTACCAAAGTGAAAATTACCAAATTGAAAATAACAAAATTGTCGAAAGTAACCATTGATAGTAAACAAATTGAAAATTATCAAATAAAAGTTACCAATCTATCGGCCTAATTATACCTTATTAAGGTATCCCATGAATATATTCCTGCCGTATCCTAAAACAGCTCCCTTGGTCTCAACTGCACAACTATCTTCCATCTTTTCTAAAAAAAAATTCTTATAAATAATATTTCTTTTTCAAAAATTAGTGCTTTGGACATCTCATTGTTTAAGACCTTATATGATAGAAATGTTTTCGATTGAACACTATGATAGAAATGTTTTTCGATTTAACACTATGATAGAAAAATTTTCGATTGAACACATGATAGAAATGTTTTCGATTGAACCCTATTGTGGCAAATGCTTTGCTCCAACAAGTTTCCTTGAGTCAGTATTTTTCAGACATAACTAGCTCTAGTACTCAATGTTCTACAATAATACTTCAGTGTGTATCAAACCAGATACGACACTCTATGTATTCTTTAGTATGCATCGTACAGATACAACTCCAGCTGACTCTCTGCTCTCTACAAGAGAATTAATACGTGTCTAAGCGTAATGAAGCAAAGGTTCATGCATAGAGAATAGAATATATAGAGAGGAATTAAAAGAACCTCTCGGTATGATTTTTTTCAGTCCCTTTCAGCCTGAAAGGGAGTTCAAAGTGTACAAATCATGGAAATGTTCACAAATTATATGCAGTAGAGTACATTAATACAGTATGTATTTCAATTTCGAAATTTTTAAAGATGTTAAATAAACTTTATAATGAATTAGGTGAATAAAAACATCATTTGATTTATAGTTATAACGGAAAATCATCGTTTGTAAAGTGGAAGGCATAGAGTCTATGTAAAATGATCATTGGTCAATTATGAAACCAGCCTATTTCATAATTTGGTTTTCTTTTAACAATAATTTTAGATTTTCTATAAAATGATATTCCAGGGCCCAAAAGGCTATATAGAAGTACACCTGCAGTATGGAAACAGTACAATAAAATGGCCGTTTTACACTTTTTTCTAGTAAATTCCTCTCTATATATTCTATTCTCTATGTGAACATTTAATAGGATTTATTTTACAAAGAAATTATTTGAAAAATTTATATTAAACTTTTAAAGAATTGTTTGTTCCTCAATAGATAAAAAGAAAACAATAAATCGAAAAAACTCTGTCAACAAAATATTTTTAAGACATTTAAGACATTAAAAGACGACTTTAAAGGGACTGTAAAGGAAAAATAAAAGTGGGTATAGGCTGAAACCTGAGAATCTCAGGAGATGAACGATACCTATAAGAACTTCAGCCAATGGTAGTGGAGTATACTGGTCTCGTGATTTCCGTCTTTATCACGTGACAACGAAACTGCACTGCCATTGGATGAAGTTCTGGTGACGTAATACGGACTATACTGACTATATGTAATTTATGTTATCAAATATATCTATTAAAAATGCAAAATAAAAAAAATTATATTAGGAGCAAACCTGAGATTTTCAGGTTCCTGTGGGATATCATCGTTTTCAGATTGGTTGCGTATTTGTTAAATATGATCTGTTTTATACTACAACTTTTATACAAAATTGCATATATATGAATTTTCGTATAAATTTGACACAGTTTTATATCAATGCATAGAGACAGGAACATCAGATAGATGTCTTATAGGTATCGTTTAACACCTGAGATTCTCTGCAGGTTTTATCCTATACCCCCTTTTATTTTTCCTTTTCAGTCCCTTTAATCCTATTCCACCTTTCATTTTCCCTTTACAGCCCCTTTAAGGATTTAAACTTTCAATGACGACATGAAAAGACACGAAGCAATTGTAAAGTGAAGACAAACCAATCTCAATTAATAAGTTGATTTTCTAGCCTAAGCATAATACAGTAACATCAAATAAACATAAAATGGCTTTAAAGTCGTGTTTTTAGTTTACCGATTTATGGGTCACACTGTATGTACAAATATATTTTGCACATAAAGAACCTGAACGACTGCCTTTATGTCTAATTTTATAATCCCTATACCTTTTTAACCTGACGGTATGATATTTTAAACTTCGGCTACAACATCATGCTTCAAAGTAAAAAGGAGTAGAAGATTAGGACTTAAGTTGTTGATTAGTTTTCGAATAATAACTCTGTTTGGTAATTTAGCTCAACCCTACCTTAAACTTTTAAACTCTTTAAAATACAGCATCTAAAAGTTAAAAAATTTACCGTTTAGGGATATTAGCTGCAAGAAAACTGGTCGTCTCTGACTGTCCGTACCCAGAGTGTACAACAATATCAAACCCAGATAGGAACCGTAGGAGGCGGTCCTGAAGAGGCCCGCCCCGGCACAGATATAGGGTGTTAGGACACAAACCTAAACTCTCCTGAATAAATTAAAAATATTAGCTGGGGGTGTTTTTTCAAATATCCTAGAATTAGCTCTCAGCTAATGTATTGTTGGACACCGTATCAAATCCAGTTTTTTAACGTTTTTGCTTTTAAGAAACATGTAATCGGGATTTCAAGTGGCATTCCTTGCAAAACTGGCAATGCCAGTTGACAGCCGTACCCTTTAAGTGAGTGTTATAAAATTATAAACATTTATATCTAATGCATACTTGTTCGACAAAAACTTTTAAGGGTATGGTTGTAAACCGGGCATTGCAATCTTTGCTTAGAGGGTCACTCGAACTTTATTCGCTTTAACAGTTTTTAACAAAGAAACATCAACCGTTCGATTATTAACGGTTTATAAAATCGTTCATTTAACGGGCGGCGTTCAGGGTAATATCTTACCTCAAAGCAAACCGTTAAACCAATTTTCAAATTTATCTTTAAAACATTGAAATTTAAAAAGATCATCATAGCAAAGCTTAATCTAATCCATGACGAACGAAGGACACAACCAAGCTGGTAATTTATAACTTAAAAATTAAATGAAAATTTTTTCAAATTACAAATTTGAATGTTAAGCACCTTTCAATTGAAATTACTTAAAATACCTTGTACTTTTTGCAGACAGTATTTTTGGCGATTTTGCTCTGGATATCTCCAATCTTGGTTGAACCTGAAGGTTTAGCTCCGGGAAGAGATAAACCACTGTGGTTTTGTAGATGTTTTTGTGATACAGCTCCATTAGACCAGTCTAAATATTCAACATTCTTGCAACAATAATTTTAGATTCACAACAATCTTGGAGCAAAAAATTTTTATATTTAATTTATTTCTAATTGAAAAATTCCATATGATAATAAAAAATGTTGCATAATAAAACTAAAAGATATTAAATATCTTCCTAAATATTAAATTAAATAACATTAAAAGCCTTAGAAGTGATTTTTTTACTTACATCAACTACAAATATTTCGATTGAATCTTTTTAAAATGTTCTAACAAAATTGGGTTCTAAACATTTAAATTTTCAAAATCTGAACTAGAAGTTTAGCTTAACTATTTTCAAAACTGTTTGTGCATAATTTCTGGGACCTAGAAATGCTGTTTTATGTTTATCTAAGATTAGAATAATATTTTAGTTTAAACATATTCTCTTTAATTATGTGAATAACCAACCTGGCTTACTTTTTCCAAATTATAAAATTGACTAATCTGAAATCTAATTTACCTAAGAAAAATCGTTCAACTCCCGACACAGATCTTCTCAATTGAACCAATCTAAAATATGAAATTAAACTTCAACTTTCGTCTGTCTGGAGGTTGAACATTTTAAAGCGGTTGAACCAAATAGGATTTAGAAGTGATTAATATTTTTATGAGTGTAGATTTTACGTTTTTTGGAATTAATTCAGACTCAGAGTTTAATTACGCATGCATTTTTTATAACAGTCCCTTATTTGCAGATTTTAAAGGGACTGTAAGTACGTAATTTCAAGTGTCTCCCCATGCAAAGATGGCAATGCCCGATTTACAACGGTGCCCTTGTAACCTTAAATAGAGTGTTCGCAAAAAATTGAAGGGGGCTTACGGCGAAAAATTATCGATGGGGATTGCTACTAATCTTACTTCTATCTGTTGCGTCAATAAGGAGAAACTTTGTTAAAAACGACTCAACCCAAAGAACGTAGCATCCACACAAATTCAGACAGTATGCAACATTCGATTCGGATCGTAAAAAATAAATTTAATTCCAAACAAATTATTCAGATATTAAAATCTATATTAGTTGATAATTGTTCGACGCATTCGTATTTAGTTTATATTTCATAATATTTTTTACTTTTTTCATTTACGATGTATACTTTCAACGACGATTTTTTTGTCACTAGATGTCGTTGGAGTCTATTCGAGAGCAGAGACACAGAAGATAGAAGTAAGATTAGTAGAGCGATCATTTTTCGACGAAAGCCTTATACCGCCATTATTTTTTCGCGAACACTCCCTTTAATTGCAAAATAAGCAAGAAATGTACAAGAAACCGCATTTGAAAATAAACAGTGAAAAGAAATAAAAATATTAATATCTAATTCATACTTGATCAGAAAAATCATTTAAAGGTACCGATGTAATTCAAGCATTCACACTTTCAAATGAAGGGTCACTTGAAATTACGCTTACAGTCCCTTTAATAAACTGTCAGTTAGCCTTACAGGGTGACTAAACATAATTTAACAATACAGGGACAAAGCTGATGTAGAGGGACAAATGGCATATCACATTCATCTGAGCAGCAATGAGAAAGTTATTGCAGTTTTCTATTTGGAAAAGTGTTGATTCTAATAATTTCCTTCATTCTTCTGTGTTGCATAAACCGCAAATAAAAACAATCATGTTTAAGACGACCCTTAGCCCTGTACCTTACCCTGCAGGTTGATGGTGTTGAGACATGAATACATGTCAAGTTTGCATGTTTTAGATTATAATGAATTGGTATTTAAGATTAATGCATGATGTATTAAACACACTTCCCCACCACCGAGCCACACTACAAAAAATGTGCACGCTCTCAACCAAAAATAAGAATTTTAAACTTAATTTAAAACATAACCCGTTGTAGTTTCAAATTTCTAGGGCTATTATTAGCATAATTAGAAGATAATTAGAAGATTGGTAACCCGTCTTAAAAATATATGCACAATGTTTATAGCTGTCTGGATATTTAGTATTTATGCCAAGTTGAAGGAAATGTTTTGCGACCGCAAAACCATAAGAAACCGCCATTTTTATGCTTAGATAAAAAAGTGCAGTATGGGGTGTCAAGAATCCTGAAAAATCCCTCTAAATATTATTTCTAATTCATATAATCCTCTTTCTATGATGAAAAATTTGAACTTGTTTTCCTTATGACAAATGACATATATCTACAATTTACATTTTTTTCATAACAATAATCTACAATTTACATTTTTTTCATGACAGTAATCTACAATTTACATTTTTTTCATGACAATAATCTACAATTTACATTTTTTCATGACAATAATCTACAATTTACATTTTTTTATCACATTAACATACAATTTACATTTTTTTCATGACAATAACCTACAATTTACCTTTTTTCATGACAATAATCTACAATTTACATTTTATTCATGACAATAATCTACAATTTTCATTTTTTTCATGACAATAATCTACAATTTACATTTTTTTATGACAATAATCTACAATTTACATTTTTTTATGACAATAATACACAATTTACATTTTTTTATGACAATAATCTACAATTTACATTTTTTTCCTGACAAATAATCTATAATTGACATTTTTTATGACAATAATCTACAATTTACATTTTTTTTATGACAATAATCTACAATTTACATTTTTTTATGACAATAATACACAATTTACATTTTTTATAACAATAATCTACAATTTACATTTTTAAATTCAATCTATAATTGACATTTTTTTATGACAATAATCACAATTTACTTTTTTTTCATGACAATTATCTACAATTAGCATTTTTAAAGACAATAATCTACAATTTACTTTTTTGCATGCCAAATAATCAACAATTTACATTTTTATGACAACAATCAGAAAATTTTAATTTTGTTTAGACAAATTATTCTACAATTTACGTTTTTTATGACAATCATCTGCAATTTACATTTTTGATGACATTAATCTACAATTTTCATTTGTTCCCGGGACACTTGACAACCTTTTTCAGTGTTCTTTTTCCCGTGCGGGGGATAATGGGGGAAAGGGAGAAAGAGGGGGTTATTTTACCTGTGATATATTCTCTCAAATATGACAGGAGGACCGTACAGTATGGTTGGCTGGATCTAGAATATATCCAATAAAAAATAATGAGAGAAATAATATTGTTAAAGTATTTTTTCTTTTATTTTAAAAAAAGGTGAAAATCAATATGGAAAAAAATATTTCTGGCAAAATTTGTATTTTTACACAAATTTTTTACACGGATACCCCCTTTTTGTCATTTGATTTAAAGATTCTGTTGCTTTTTGGAAAGCCAACTAACCAAAATTCAAGATTTTTGTGAAGAAATTTTGCATAGCAAATTTTGCATATGAAAATAAGCTGTCAATCCTTAAACATGTAACTGTAAAACTAAACAACTCTTGTTCCAGTGTCTTACAATTACTTCTCTCGGTTTTAAATACGGCTGTCTACTATAATTCAATGCAATGAAGACGACTTTCGATTTCATTTTTTATTCTACCAAGCTTTCAAAGAGCCTAGAAGCACATAAACATGGGAACAAAGAGAAGCTGTCAATTAACACCTTCTCTTTGCTTAGTCGTAGACTTTGTAATTTGAATAAAAGCTTGTCAGAAATCAAAACTTAAATAGAAAGTCGTCTTCATTATGTATTGATATAAACGCCGACTACTATAGTTTACCGTTTTAATTTCTTGAAAGAACATATCCCCGTCATGAAGTATATTTGAGGATGGGAATACAAGAGTACCAGCCACAGTCATGCAGTAGTAGATATCCAGGATCTTAAATAAACCGGTCTCTAAGATAAAATGGAATAAAAAGACGACAATTTATAATTTAGCACATGTTCAGAGAGCGGTGTATCAAGGGACATTAATTAAAAAATCCTCAGTTTAACTTCTTAGAAATTTGGTCTGACCCAATTGTAGCCTTGCAGAGATGTAAGAATGAGTTAAACCAATTTGAATTGATTTAAGTTCGCTCATTTAAAAGTAACCAGCTACATCTATTTATCACTTTATCGTTAATCAACCTTATACAGCCTGTCTCTGAAAAAAGTATGTTTTAACTTTTTTACCTACTAAACGTCGTTTTGTAGGGGCAATGGCTAAAATATGGAAGGGTCGTCGATGTCGTCGATTTTTCAAAAAGCAAACAACAAATATCTATTTTTAATTTTTAAGATTCATGATTACATTTAATTGAGATAGTTTACAACAATAATGCATTAGATAGAAATATAAAAAGAAATAAAATTAGATCTTTTTTAAACCTTCGGAAAAAGAGACCGAGCACATTTTCGAATATTAGGCCTTCTAAATGTTATATCGACGACCCCCACCCCTTTTACTGGCATAGCACGGACTGATTCAGGAACATAAAACGAAGTTTAGAAGCCGAAAAAACTTTTTTCAGAGACACCTTGTATCAATCAAATAAATAAAAATTAAGATATGCCCATTGCTGTCCGAATACCTGTGTTGATATGTGTGAAAGAGGTAGATAGCTGATTAAAACTTCCTCCCCTGGGGCAGGGCTTCTAAACAAAATGGTGTCTAATATTAGTAATTACCAATTAATAAAATGTTTTACAAACAGCAATATATTAAAGATTCTGCTAAACCAAGTAACTTCTTGTACCGGCATGGTCTCAAGAGACAAATGCAATTTATTTTGCTTAAAAGATGAACATTAAATTGTTCTACGCAGTTTATTCCTTAGCTCGGAGCCTCTCTTCTATATATATGATGCCGCTTCAACACAGCTGATTAATCACCTTTTTAAATGCCTCTTTTTTTTAATCAAATGTAAAATGTTTTTATTTTTTTATCTTTCTACCTGTTGAATCCTGGAGCTCTGATGAATCCAAGTGCCATTTTAGCAGACCAGGTCAAGTTGTCATGAGAGAACATTACTCCCCTGAAAGATATATATAGTATTTTATCAGATCAGGTCAAGTTATTGTGAGAGAACATTACTCCCCTGAAACATATAGATAGATAAACAATGAAAATGATGAAAACAACCAATTGTAAATTATATTTGCATTAGCGTAAATTTTTGCACAAAATGGCAAAAAAAGGAAAAACTAATCTTTGAACACAAGATTGGTTGTCCGGTTAAATTTTTCAAAGCTGAAATATATGAAATAAAAGACAAATCTACATTAAAAATGTTATTTGCACTCTATATCGTTTTTTTTTTATTGATTTGTATTCAAAAATATAAAATTAAATTACTTGGGTGTAGAATGGCTTCCACTGGAGTACACGAGACTACAGCATTGATTTATTGCTATTCTTCTCTGCCGGTCATCCAATCTAGTCTCAGACAGGGACTGCAATATATCAGGTTTTTAGTCTCAGACAGGGACTACAATATATCAGGATTATAGTCTCAGACAGGGACTACAATATATCAGGTTTTTAGTCTCAGGCAGGGACTACAATATATCAGGTTTTTAGTCTCAGGCAGGGACTACAATATATCAGGTTTATAGTCTCAGAAAGCGACTACAATATATCAGGTTTTTGGTCTCAGACAGGGACTATACAATACACCAGGTTTATAGGCTCAGACATTGACTACAATATAACAGGTTTATAGTTTCAGACAGGGACTAGAATAAAACAGGTTTTTAGTTTCAGACAGGGACTACAATATAACAGGTTTATAGTTTCAGACAGGCACTACAATATCACAGGATTATAGTTTCAGACATTGACTACAATATTACAGGTTTATAGTTTCAGACAGGGACTATAATATAGCAGGTTTATAGTTTCAGACAGGGACTACAATATAACAGATTTTTTAATATCATACAGGAACTAGTGACTACAATATAACAGGTTTATAGTTTCAGACAGGGACTACTATATCACAGGTTTATAGTTTCAGACAGGGACTACAATATAACAGGTTTTAATAGTCTTAGACAGGGACAACAATTCAAAAGGTTTATAGTCTCAGACAGGGACTACGATATAACAGGTTTATCGTCTAAGACAGGGACTACAATATCACAGGTTTATAGTCTTAGATAGGGACTACAATCTAGGTTTTTAGTCTCAGACAGGGACTACAATATATCAGGTTTTTAGTCTCAGAGATGGACTACAATATATCAGGTTTATTTTCTCAGAGAGGGACTAAAATATATCAGGTTTATTGTCTCAGAGAGGGACTACAATACAACAGATGTATAGTCTTTGACAGGGACTACAAGATAAAAGGTTTATTGTTTAACCGATTGGGCAGTGTATCCGCCCCACCCTAGTGTTTAACCCATGACATGATCTATCTGCCCCACCCTAGTGTTTAACCGATGGCGTGGTACATCTGCCCCGCTTAAGTATTGAAACTGATGGCATCTATGGTATATCCGCCCTGCCCTAGTGATTGACCAAGGGGTGGTATATCTCTCCCACCCTAGTGTTTAACCAGAGGGGTGGTATATATCCGCCCTGCCCTAGTGTTTAACCGGAGGCGTGGTATATCTGCCCTGCCCTAGTGTTTAACCAATGTTGTGGTTTATCCGCCCCGCCCAAGTGTTTAACCGAGGGGCGTGGTATATCCGCCCTGCCCTAGCGTTTAACCGGAGGGCGTGGTATATCAGGGTTGACAGGAGTACAAGATAAAGGTTAGATATCTAGGAGAACGTCAAGATTTAGATCTATCTTCTTAGCATCACATTTCTCAACCTAGTGGGGGGCAAACTGGGGGCAAACTATCCATCATGTATGAATCTAAAACCTTCTACACATAAAGTTATATCTTCGTGTTTGGTTTTTATGGATTTAAATCGTACTGAAAAATATAAAATTTCTGCAAATTTACAAAACTACATTTATAAGGTTGTTTGGTTCTTAATTTTCACTAGGTCATTTGCAGTACAGTAGTATCCAAAATAAAAAGGAAAGTACAAAGCTGACATTTAGTCCAAAGATAAAATAAAGTTGATAGATATACTAATTGTTTTGTTTTAATTTTGTTACCTTAAGTTTTCAAGATAATTATTTGTGCTTTAAAGGTCCAGAAAGTGGAAAAATTTCATGACTGAAGAAATGAGAATGGAAGTTAGGATAAAGGGGGGGGGGTAGAATTTGTTCATATCAGACAAAGTGAATTCCAGATTCCAGATTCCAGATTCCTGATCCTAGATTCCAGATTCCAGATTCAAGATTCAAGATTCAAGATTCAAGATTCAAGATTCAAGATTCAAGATTCAAGATTCAAGATTCAAGATTCAAGATTCAAGATTCAAAATTCAAGATTCAAGATTCAAGATTCTAGATTCCAGGTTCCAGATTCAAGATTCAAAATTCCAGATTCAAAATTCTAGATTCCAGATTCCAGATTCCAGATTCCAGATTCCAGATTCCAGATTCAAAATTCAAAATTCAAGATTCAAGATTCAAGATTCAAGATTCAAGATTCAAGATTCAAGATTCAAGATTCAAGATTCTAGATTCAAGATTCAAGATTCAAGATTCAAGATTCAAGATTCTAGATTCAAGAAAGATTCAAGATTCAAGATTCTAGATTCAAGATTCAAGATTCAAGATTTAAGATTCAAGATTCAAGATTCAAGATTCCAGATGCCAGATTCCAGATTCCAGATTTCAGATTCCAGATTACAGATTCCAGATTCTAAATTCCAGATTCCAGATTCCAGATTCCAAATTCCAGATTCAAGGTTCAAGATTCATGATTCATGTGAAGTGTTCCCAGAAATACAGTATCAATGGATAGGTATTTTTATGTCTGCCCTAGACTAATTTTATGACTCTTATATCTGTTCCAAACTTGAATATAAGAACTGGAATAAATTACATAAATATCAGTCTCAGCAATAAAACTCTTTTTAGGTTAATCAGAGATTGATAGAAGTGATATGATAAAAAGGTGAATTGAATCCCCACCACCCACTCTCCCCTCCCCTATAGAAATGTCCCCCCATTTTCCCATTTATGTGACCCATTTTATATGTAGCTGGCTTGTCTGATTCACAGAGTACCCTGCAACTAGGGTTTCTCTTGTAAAGGTGAAATCGTTTGTAGAAAATTTCGATTGATAGATTGATATTAATTGAAAGTTTGTAGCACAATGAGTTGAAGAAGTTCATCAAGTTTAAAATTGGAAATTTTGACATTTTGAGACACACTGTATGTTTACATTAAATTTGGATGCAAAAACATCACATGGCCTGGATTAAAAATTGTATAAGAAAGATTGTAAATATTGTTAGTCAATCAGTGTTCACTAAATTTCCTTGAAGCTATAGGTTTAGTTGATTCAGGGGTGGGTGGGCTGCTGTATGTATAAAATGCCTTTTTTTTGTCGACGAAATGTGCACTCTTCAGAAGGTGGGTGGTGAGGATAGTAAAGGTCGGAGAGTGTTATGAATGCCAGAAACAAGCTTAAAACATGTGATTTAATGGGAATCGATACCCATATTGTATACCATGCGCATAGAATTAACACAGAGTGGGGATGGGGTCTCTTTAAAAAACAGACGGTAGTTGGGGTAGTAAGGGATGTAAAAAATGTTCTTACTATTATATTAGTAACTGCAGAAATACGTGAATTTTATAGCGTTCTCTATTCATTTATTCACACTTTTGTTAAGTTAAAATATTGTTCTTGTCCGAGTTGTTGATTATTTGGCATCAAAAATAATTTAATTTAATAATATTACAAAATGGGTACAATGTTCGAATTCGTTAAGTTTTTTTCTTAACACAAATTATGTTTCAACGAATTCATATCATGTGTGCTTAAAATATGGCACTAGCAAGAATTATGTACATGCAAAAGTTTGGAATTTGGGTTCCCTAAAGTATAAGATTAATTTCTTCATTTAAAAATTCTAACACAGGAATTGAGTCTTTGTAACAAAATCAAATATTTAAACCCCAATATCTTTAGAACCCGATGTTGTAAACCTTTGATATTTCAAAATCTGATTATTTGATTTAACAGAATTCATAGTTTGAAATATCTAAGGTCTACAAAATTTGGTTCCAAAGATATAGTGATTAGAAAATCAGAGTTTGTGACAAAGACTCAATTCCTTT